TGAGTGTAGCATATGCGCTAAGACATTCAAGAGGAAACAGCAGTTACAAGTACATCAAGAAACGCATCTTGACAAATCGAGTAGTGACGTGTATACATGTGAGACGTGTGGTAAAACGTACAAAAGCAAACTAGCTTTGACGAGACATTCAAAAACCCATTTTGCTAAGCATCGTTTTAAATGTTCGTTGTGTCCTATGTCATCGTACTATAAATCGGTCGTGGAAAATCATATTTCTTCCATCCACAACGATACAGACTACTTTTGTCACCATTGCGGAAAGACATTTAAGCAACTGTATTACTACAAAAACCATTTGCAAACCCACGCAGATAATTACGTTCGACCCATATACCAGTGTAGTGTTTGCTTGAAAATATTTAAAGTTAAGTACTTGTTTGATACTCATATGAAGTCGCATACTGGTCAGAAAGAGTCGGTGGTGTGTGAGGTCTGTGGTAAAGCGTTCTCTGATAGATTGTATTTGAACAAACACATGAGGGTGCATACAGGGGAGAAACCCTATATCTGTGATTATTGTGCTAAAGGATTCACTATGAAGAAGTTCTTAGTTAATCACTTGAGGGTGCATACTAAAGAGAAACCGTATAGTTGTACAATTTGTCAGGGGAGGTTTACTCAGCAAGGGAGTTTACATATCCATATGAGGTACCATACGGGTGAGAGACCCTACAAGTGTGAGGTGTGTACAAAGAGTTTTGTTACCAATACAATGTTAAAGAAGCATAAGTGCGCTGAAACAAATTGAGGTTTTGTAAATGTTGTATTTTTCATTAATAAATAGTTTGTTATATTCGTTGTTAACTAGTATATTATTAAATGTGGCGGTTTTATACGTTGTCATGAACTGGTAATTCTGAAATGTAAACTTCGCGCGCGCGTCGTCTACGGGGGCGGTTGCTCGGGCGCCAGCTCCTCCGGAGCCGGAATTAACGTAAATATTAGGTTTTTATTTCCCGCCACCAGCTACAAATCTAAATATGAAAAGACTAAATAATTATCTACAAAACAACTTTCGCCAAATCAAAATCCGGTCAAGGTCATCACTGGCGGATCCTCGGTGGATGAGGCTGCTTCGGTTCCTGGGGAGGCGGCGACGTTGAAACGGGCACGATACGCCGAAAGGGGGTCACCCGGCGATTCTCTTCCTTCACCACGTCCAAAAGACTTAACGCTCTCCTTTCCAGCGACGCGTTGGTGCGGTCCGGTATTCGTGAAACATCACCTACTCCTGGTATCCTTATCCCGGTTTCTGGATATTTCTCCAAAATTTACTTCGTTACAGTGGATGAACATATTTATGTTGATATCGAATTTTTGCATTTTAAAAAAAATGTGTATCAGTGTATTTTTGATTATAGCGAGATGCTAAAGTGCCGCTTGATTTAAAAATGGGTTGTACATTAATTGTGCCGCTTTTCGTAAAACTTTGTTATATTATATTATACATGTATTGTAAGCATCAGTGTAAACCGTTTTTGTCTACAGTTGTATATATTTATTCTTTTTATGATTATTATTGTTATGAATATCAATTTATGATCTTAATTTCGAAAATTGTAGTTTCTTAAAATGCATGGTGAGGTATGTTAGTAAGTAATTTTAAATCTCGAAATTGAATTATTTTCATTGCAATTTGCCAGATAAAACTGAAGAAAATATTCCGAAAGCTTTTGAACGCTTCACATTTTTCCATCAGATGAACAAAATTTTTAGCGGAGATTTTGAAAGCTGCTTTAGATTTCTCTCCAATTACAGCCATAAACATAGAATAAAATTTTCAACATGTACATTTATATTAACAGAAAATTTTCTAAGAGTGAAAAGCATTAAATCAATGTGCTTTAGTTGGGTTTAACGTCACTGTAAGACAATGGATTAAATGCAATAGGATCAACTTGACGAGTGGCTGAATTTAGTTTTTTTAGCGTTTCATAGTTCGTAGAATGTCAAAAAGTAGGTCTTTCGTTGTCAATCTCTGACGCGTTGGCGAGCTTATTATGCAAGTAATTTCCGAAATTGACCATAGATTATCGTGAGATGTTACATTTTTTTTTAGAAATATCATCTAGCTGGTAAAGTGCTAAATATCATCCCACAAAAAGTATGACATTATTTCAAAATTTTGCTCTCTTTATGGTTTATTAATTCAGTTTTATTTCTGTTATTGAATTTGTACATTTTTGTGAAGGAAAAAAGAAGATCAGAATGGTACAGCAAGATTTTTTTGAAACTACAAAACCAATTGCTTTTAAATTTTGTATACGTCTTAAATTTCATGTGGACTTGCTAAATTTTAACCAGAATTTATTTGTTCATCCATTTAAAAAATTTGATGACGTTATCTCAAAATTTTGCACCCAGACTCATCTGAAATGTTGGAGAAGCGTTGTTTTGGTAAAATGACTACCTTCATGTTTTCTCGACATTTCATGACCCTTCGTGTAGGGCTGTTTATCTCTGCGTCGAGTTTTATATCAGAGAAATAATCTTCGAAACTACCGGATCAATTGTTGTCAAATTTTAGATGTATGATATGAATACTGCGTACATGGTAAAACGCTAACCCAAATTTGTCTAGTCCTCCCTACCAACTATTTGATGACGTCACCTCAAAATTTTTCAGGGTAAATGTTATGAATCCATCTTGATTTTTACCCTAGCGATCCACATTTTTGAAAATACCAAAATTGTATAACATTTTATGCTAATATAACAGGAACGTTCACAAGTGCTGGATGGCTTATACTAAACTCATTTGACATACACCTAGTAAATTTTTTATGACTTAAGCGGCTTAAGCCAAACCACCCTTATAAGTCAAATTGGTTATTGTATAACTTAACTCGGTTGACATATATCTAGCAAAACTGACAGCTCTATTATGGCGACAATAGACAGTATAATCCTTGCGGTTTGCGTCCATAAAGCATACAATAGCCAGTTTGACTTATAAGGGTGGTTTGGCTTAAGTGGTTTAAGTCAAAAGTTTTACTAGGTGTATGTCAAGTGAGTTTAGTATAGATGATTTGGTGCGTGCTAATGACGCAAAGGTCGCAAGTTCAATCTCCACAGTGCCCATTTTTTTTTATTATATTGTGATTGCTATAATGTATATTTTTAATTTATTTACATTAATAACTATATACTTATAATTAAGCTTCGTATTTCGGCACGCTGTTGAATGCAGATATAACTATCTTGATTTCAAGGTACGTTATACCACACTTTTTTTTTGGTCATGAGTTATTAGTAATTATTTCTTTTTCCAGAGTGGAGTGTACACAATACAATCTTGTACGAAAAGATGGAAACTACGTTTTCGAGTGTAAACTGTGTCGCCTAGCTTATCCCAAATTTGATTTATTCAAGTTTCACAAACACGCAAAATTACCGGAACCTGTTCCAAAACCCACGTAAGAAATCATATTCAGCTTTAATTTTTGTAAAAATACTTTTCCAATTTCAGCGTTATAAAACCGGTACCCAAGGACATAAAAAGGAGTCAACTGACACTGAAAATACCGCGTACTTACACTTGTAAAGCTTGCCCTCTGGTCTTTGCAAGTGCAAAACAACTGGAGAGACACCGCATAAGGCAACATGACCCAATTTTTCCGTGTCCACATTGCGACAAACGGTACCATTACAAGGTTGCCCTGAAGAACCACGTTACGACGGTTCATGAGGAACCAAAGAGGTTTATTTGCGCAATCTGCAACTATTCCACTGGCGACAAATTCGTGCTAGAGTGTCACGTGATAACCCAACACACCAAGAACTATCCTTACGTTTGCGATATTTGTGGCCGCGGTTTTGTTAAAAAGTACTTGCTTGTGGCTCACAACGAGGCCATACATGAAGAAGCAAAATTCGTGTGCGAAGTATGCGGTAAAGTGTGTAATTCCAGACACTACTTACACAAACACCTGAAGATGCACAAATCCGAGGAAAATAGTGAAAAGCGAACAGGTAGTGTTTGCGAGATTTGTGGAAAGGTTTTTTTGTATTTGAAAGATCACAAAAAAGTGCACGTCGAACCTTCCATCATGTGTGAAGTATGTGGGAAAATTTTTGTTTGCAAAAGCTACCTAGACAACCATATTGCTAGAGAACACACAAAAAGAAAAGTGTATGCGTGTGAAATATGCAAAAAAAAGTTTATGCAAAAGAAGAGCTTACGTCAACACGTGCTTAATAGACATATTAAAAAACAGAAACTTGGAGTGAGTAGCAAAAAAGTGCGAAAGGGGGCTTTAAAAAGAAAGACGTTTGAATTTGACGGGGAAGAGAGGTCTTATCAATGTCATTTGTGCGGTTGGTTATACACATCTGCCTCTGGGCTCAGAACACATCTGAGAGAGCATGCTGACGGAAAAGTATTTACATGCAAGTTTTGCGAAGGGGAGTTCGAAACTCGGAATTTATTGAAAGACCATGAGTGTCCCGTCCCGACTGGCAACTTTAAAAAAGAGAGTATACGCACTGAAATTGTAACTAAAACCGAAAATTGTGTTATTGAGCAAAGTACAGTTCAAAATGGTTGAGGAATTTACCACCATACCTTTTAAGCTGTGCCTTGAGTGTTTTCCGTAGTAATAAACTGGTTAATTGGTACTGTAAAATAAATAATAATTAAGTATAGAATCACCTTTGTAAATTTGTTAATTAATTATACGTCACGAAAATGTTTTTCAAGTGAATAAACTATGTTGACGGAATTATTTTAGTCCATTATTTGCTTCATGTGAGGAATACGTGAAATAGCTAAATGAAGAGGATTTGCCACTACACTGAGTGCGTTTTTCATTATTAACGACCACCGCCATGTTTGTTTCAAATCAAGCCTTACTCACCCCAGTTAACCAGTTTTACTGATTTTTCTTTTGCAGGATGGATTGGAAACCCGTACAGAAACGTGAAATTGACTACTTCCAGTGTGGAGTATGTTCTCAAGTATGCGCAGATTTTGACGAGTACTCGTTTCATGTAAATAATTCTCACGAGGAACTATTAAAACCAGATATTAATTTATTAGGGATTGACTCAATGGGAGTGGAATCGATGGTACCAGAGTAAGTACGACCGCTGCAGATTTCCTACTAACTAACTCTGTGTTTTAAGGGCGCCACCAAATACTAGCAAAAAAACAACCCCGATGGCCTGGCCGTGTGATGTTTGCCCCAGCGTTTTCAAATTTGAAAGTTACTTGAAACGACATCGATTGCGACATTTCGAACCTGAGATTCAGTGCATCGAATGTAATGAACGGTTTCACGATGAATATACTTTGAACCACCATCTTGCTGTCGTACATGAAAAACAAACAGCGTGGAAGTGTGATTTGTGTAAAAAGGTTTTTAAATTTGAAGCCTTGTTGAAAAGACATCGCTTGCGACATTTCGAACCTACGGTGAAGTGCACCCATTGCGATAAAAAATTTTATGACGAGTACCTCGTGAAGCAACATCGTGATTTCGTTCACAATAATACTAGGAATTTTGTTTGTGATATTTGTAATTATGCGACTGGGAATAAATCGACGCTCCAAAGACACATGATTAGAATACATACGAAGAATTTTCCCTATCCGTGCGATCTTTGTGGTAAAGGGTACACAGACAAGTACATGCTTGATGCCCATCGTCAGTCTGTACACGAAGGTGTTGAACACACATGTGAAGACTGCGGAAAGGCATTTAAATACGCCCATGGTCTGCAAGAACACAGAAAACTGCACGAACCATCATCGAAAAAGAGGGAAGAAGTGATGTGCGATTTATGTGGAGAAAAGTTTAAATATTTGAAAGAACATGTAATGAAAATGCACGGAGGAGTAAAAACTATCATTTGTGAAGTCTGTGGGAAAAGTTTCTACACAAAGAATCTTTTAAATATACACATAATGCGCAAACACAAGAACGAGCGACCTTTCAAATGCAGTTTTTGTTTTCATGGCCTAGTCACGAAAAATGAGTTGAAAGAACATATCAAACGGAGGCATTCTGGTAACGAGAGTCTTGAAGATATAAAAGAGAAGCCATTTCAGTGTAGCATTTGTGGGAAACGGTTTAAAGCTAGCACGTCGTTAACGGATCATATGAGGAAACATTCTGGGGAAAAAGCTTACACGTGTAATGTTTGTCAGGAGAAGTTTATTTCTAAACATTACTTAAAGTCCCATAGATGCGGTGGAATTAGTGATCAGTTATTAGAAATGTCTTCGAAGTAGCAACTGTCCGCGTCAGTAGTATTTAAAAGAGTATTTTGGGTGTAGGTGACGTAATGTTGTGTTCACTTGAAGACCACATTTTTATAAACTCTGGACCAGTGATTTTTAGTTGTTGTATTTATTTTTTTATGTTCAGTTGTAATTATTTCGAAAGCCCTGTTTAATTATGGTTAATTATTAATCGACTGTTTGTTATGTTATTGTGTAGATCTTTTTATATAAAGAGTTTTGTCACCGAGAGTTGTTTTTCTATTGATATTTAAAACTAAGATAAAAACGTATTTTAGTTACACCTAGCAATTCTTGATCGAGTTTTAACCGCGAAGAGTTTATTAAAAACTCTTATTTCTATTGAGGAAATTCTACGTCTTTATTTAAAAAGTCGTCAAAATAAATTTAGTTATTTTGACAGTCTTAGTTGGCAGCCATGCAAGTTACTGTGGAATGTTGACACACCGAGTTATATTAAAAAAAGATTTGTATTCTCGTTCTTTCCACATTTGTGCGTGCTTTGAGTAGCTCAAGACATTGTTTTCAGCTGCTTGAATGTGACTCTAAGGACACCAAAATATATCTAATCACTAATCACACCCACCAACAACTTGATGACGTCATGTGGTTTATGAACTTGCCTTTATTTTGTTTGTTATCATTTTTTTTGCAATATTTTTCGTAGTAAAACTGGTCTTTAAATACATAATATCAACCGTACGAAACATGTGCTTTGCTTTTTTTTTAATATTATACTTTTTCATAGAAGCTAAATTTGTTGGACTATACTTCAGGGCGTGTAAATTATCTTGTACCAATTTTTGTGTCTAAAGAAATCTCGTTTTTTCTTTAATTACAAAATGCTAAGAAATATTTTTTTGCATTCAAAAAATTAGGCACATAAGCAAACATGAAAAACAATCGTAAAGTTTGATGGTCTGAGTTTATGGTTTTTTAGATAATGTGTTTGCATCAATGCAAAATCGAGTCCTCGATAGCCAGGGCCGGCTCTAAGGGACCAGGCGCCCCGATGCAAATTTACTGTTCAACGCCCTTAAAAAAAATTTGTAATCACATATTTTTGTAGAGAGATACTTTTTATTAACAAACATGCATAAAATTATGATGAATCAATCTTAGTATATAAAAATGTTTGTCTTAACTGACAGACTGACTGATTCATAAACGCAAAGCCTAAACTACTGAAGCTACAAACATGAAATTTGGACAGTAGGTTACTTTTGTGTCATAAGCACCCATTAAGAAAAGATTTCTGGAAATTCCGCCCCTACGGGGACAAAATAGGGGATGAAGCTTTGTGCAGAAATGCCGTGAGTTTTTAAGTCAGACGGGTTCACTGGGGAGGGAGGAGTGAACGAGATGAAAAATGATAATTTCGGAGGCTTTCACGGTCGGAATCAATACATGATCGTTTTCCGGGTTGGAACCGTGTAATTTCTCAAGAGTTTCGCCTCTGGTATGGTTGACATACTGAGTTACCGTGCTCTTTTGCCTTATTCTTAACCCTGCTCCTGAAGATGCCACTTACGAAAGTGTGTGAAACGTTGAGCCCAAAAACCCAATTTACACGGTTCCAACCCGGAAAACGACCATGTATGAAAAATGATGAGTCCTAATTGCGAATTCCACGCAAACGGAGCTGCGGGCAACAACTTTTCTATGGTTTAGGAAATATCGTTGTACTCTATAAAATTGTCTTGCCAGTAACGAGACGGACAGTAGTACAATAGCAAGAGATATTTACAACTTAAAGTTGTCGCATGGCGGTAATCCGCAGACCTTAAATTTCCAAAGCAGCGGAAGTCCGATCCTATGCGTACAATTACCTGCTAAATGTTCTCCTACAAATTCGGGGGTACTGGTGTGAGCCATAAATATTTCTTACCACTGTACTACTGTCCGCCTCGTTATTGTCAATAAAATTTTATAGGGTACACCGACATTTCCTAAACTATATACCTATAGTATAAATATAAAAATATTTATATTGCAAACGTTTTTCAATTTTTAATATTGTTAAATTGATACGATTTCAAAGTTATTTTTAATTTAGACTTACCTCAATGTTAATCGAAATTTAAATTTAAAATTAATGATGACAAAAAGCCACGAAATGATACACACAACCAAATTCGGCTACAAACAGGAACAGTGAAAAATATTACAAAACTGTTGAACAACCACCACAACCAAAATTTTTAAGTATGCCGACATGGACTTTTATGGTAAAAACAAACGTGACAAATGTTAGGAAAAACATCTGGGTGTGGTCCTACCACTGTCTCGTCAAATTGTTACCCTGATAATGCATCATAAATCTGGTTATTTTTTGTCGGTATTGATCTAAAGGTCCCATCACCCAACCCAAAGGCGCACTTTTTTTCAATTATTACAGTTTGAAAGTGCCAGGAATTGACTTTTTGGGATCTGTTTTGGTGGTCATAGTGGAATGTTAAAATGTACCTTTTTCTGAAAAGTTTTCGATGGGCGCCTTGGTCTGTTACTGCTATAATATTTTATTGGTAGTGATTCAATGCAAAACTAATATTTTTTTTTTTAGAGTTAATATAATAGCATAGGCAGCGCCCGCCGCCCGCCGCCCTTTATCACGGGCGCCCCGATGCGGTGCATCTTTCGCTTACCGTGTTAAGCCGGCCCTGTCGATAGCAGAGGAGTTGTAACGGTGAAGACAAGTACCGTTTTAATAATTGAAAGAGGGATACTTTTCTTCATAAGAATTGTTGTGTGTAACAAGACTAAAAAAAGATGTGAAAGTAATTTTGAAATATAGACATGGAAAAATGACAAAAATGAAACAATGAATCGTTTAACGATTTATTTGTGGTATTAGTGTTTACAATACGGTTATAAGTAATACAAAAGGTAAAGACGTCTAAAATTCCGTTTCTTCATTGCCGTCAAATCCCACGTTGGGTCTGTCCGGTGCATCAAATAGTTGCCTTTTTTGCCGAACTAACACCTTTTCGTTGGGGGATTCTTGATGCTCGGTTTCGTTGGATGGTGTAGTCATGTCACAGTTTTCAGAATTGTCACTCATGATGACCAGCCCCTTGGACGTCTAGCAATCTAGTGACTATTTCTAGGCAGTGTTGCGGTAAAAAGAGCTCGCGTTAAATATATATTTACGACACAATAAAACTTATCTTCCTTTGCAAACGCCGCAAATTGAGTTTATTACTTTTCGGTGACACACTCGTATCATTATACTGCGGAAAATACTGTTATTAAATTAAAATTCCATTATCAGCATTGCGAACTCTCATAACCCATAGACATGTCTCCGATGTGGAAAACGAGTCGATATTTGTCAATTTCGATGTTTTTCACGTTCCATCACGATAAATAATAATTTATGATCGGCAAGAAATATGGGTATAGTGACGTCCAACCAATTCTGCATACAAGACTCACAAAAACAAAAAAAAACAGGCGCTCTAGTTATTTTATTTATATACGACAAACTTGAGAGAAAACTGGTGTGTTATGTTTTATTTTTTCACATATTTAGTTTACATATTTGAGTGAGGTAATAGTTATAATTCATTAAAAAACATATTTGATCGCGTCAAATTCACGCCGAAACATGTTTTTACATTTTGGACTTTAATATTCTAGTTAAAGTTTTTTAAATTATTTTTTCAGATTGTTTTTTAAGAGAATAGAAATCTTAAGGCTGTCAAAAATAACTAAATTTATTTTGATGAGATGGTTTTATAAAGTCACTGTCACAATTGGACTTCGTAAAAATTCGCCGGAAGCGGCTCATTTTACAAATTCCACTCATGTGATAATAAATAGGAGTATTTTTTTTTTATTTTTAGTGCAAGGTATCACATAATATCTGGAGATGATCTATTTTTAATGTGTATTATAATTTAATTGTTACAGTAGAATTCTTTTAACTTTAGTAAGGTGTTATAAAACGATGTGTTTCTGTTTCTGTCTTCGTCTGACACACTGTATTTACGGAGGTATTGTTTCCGCTCTTAAAATGCTACGAGCGACCTCAAGCCGTCAGTCGAGACCAATTGAGTGTCACTGATATTGTTAGAGATATTTTTCTTTTGTTTTTTTTTTAGCAGAAAGTTAAAATCTCAATATCAGATATAAAATGTATTTCGTCAACAATACTACAGAGCATTCTGAAACAATTGGTAGGTCGTAGACTATCGTGTTTTCTTTATTTCCTAAGTAAGTTAGGAGAGTATAATATCGTGAAAGGTAATAATATTGTTGCAAACGTTTAATTTTTTTACAGTTAGTTCGCAGAAATAGACGTTTATTTTCCAAGAATCTGTGTATTTTAAACCGCATTTTTATGGTGCGTCTGCTTCCACTTGCCGTGGAATTCGCCTTTAGTATTATCGTAAAGATAACAAAACGTCAAAAAGTTATTACGTTTTTTTTAAATGTGCAGCAAAACATTCCCAATTAATTGTGATTGAACAGTAAGTTTTTTTACAAAATAAAGTTTGAATGAATAAATTTTATAACTCAGGAATATGTATTATATTGGAAATAATAGCAATGTTTTTAACATGATATTTATTCTTATTAAAAATTGTGTCATTTTAAAAATTATCAAATAAGTGTTTACTAAAAGGTGCATTAACATCTGTTGTGCTTGAAACACGGGGGAAGGAATGTAAAATTTATCGATCGTGAAGCTAAACAAGTGTGAAAGTTTAAACTTTTGTGCGTCGCAATATATCATTTAGAATTTTCTTTTATCATGACTTTGCGATTGTAGTGTGTTTGAATTTAATATACTGATTTTGCAGGATGCTATTTGAATTGAAGTATCTAGACCGAAACCTCTTGCAAATAGAAGCACTAGAATCTGACCCGGCATTTTACCCGTAGGTATCATTCTTATGATTAATGTATCAGCTCTGATTTATTGCTTTTAGGGGAATAAATCCTGAGACGAATGAAATTATCTGGCACTGTGATCTCTGTCCAAAAACTTTTAACAGCAAAAGTAATGTGATCAGGCATCGTTCTCGCCATTTCAAGCCTAAACGCCCGTGCCCACAATGCGGAAAACAATTTCATAATGACTTCAGTGTAAAACAACACCTCTTCCATGTCCACTCCAACCAGAAGAATTTTGTTTGTCATATTTGCGATTACGCGACTTTAACGAAGACGTCCCTACAATTACACATTATAAGGAATCATACGAAAGATTATCCACTATCATGCGA